GCGGGCGTCCCTCCGCCTTAGCCGAGGCGGCTCTGCTCTCCCTCCCGGTGCGGGTGAGCTGCCTGGGGGAAGCTTTTACCCCCTTGCACGAGTGGACGAAACATGGCCCGCTCTGCTGTCAGCCGGGCAGCTCCTGCCCCGCTTCTGCCCGGGGCTCAGCCAGGTGGACGTCCTCCTGGAAGGTGGCAGCCTGAGAAGGCAAAGAAGTCCTTCCAGGCGAAGTCCCGCTCGCCCCGGCTTGCCACACAGGCTGTAAGAGGGAGTCTGTGAAGGGGAGCCGTAGGGAATGCCGCCAGGTTGAGGCACAGCCACGCAGCATCAGCCCCCGAGAGCGCATCAGGCGTATGATGATAATTTAGTCCTGGGGAACCTTTCCAGTAGGTGAACAGAAAAAGAGCAGAAGCAGTGTGATTTCTGAGGCAGACTCATTTTGCTGGTGAAAGGGAATTACAGAAGTGCCCCCTCCCTTCCCCACGGTGGTATCAACACCTTTCTTTTTCTGGTTTCCCCTCGAGTCGCTGATTGTTCTCTTCCCTAGAGCAGTTCAACGGGTAGAAACATTGCGAGGGCATTGGCAGCTTTTACCTCGGCATCATCCAGCCCTGCTGAGAGGCACTCGACACACAACAGTGGTAAAAATGCTGGCAGAGGTACGGCCCGCTTGTGCTGGCTTTCCTATCGCTCCTGCTGCCAGACAGAGGAAACTGTACGCTGCAGAGTCGGGGGTTAGAGGAGTCAAAGAGATTGTGAATCCTTGTGTGTTGCCGCTGGCTGGCTTTCCAGCAATGGGGGATTGAGCTGGTCTCTGACAAGGCAGCAAGTCCAGAGCTGCCGTGCTAGGGAATGCTCTGAAGCGCGCTCTGCAAATCAGGCTCACTGAGTTGCTGCAGCTCTTCTCTGCACCAAGCGGTGTTTCTCTTTTGGATGGTGGTGGTGTTAAACACTCCAGCAGTAAAGAGGCTTTGTTGTGGTCTCTGCAGCATTGCTTTTGCCTTGGCTAGCAGCAGCCTTTTTGTTTGAATAAATGCTTTCCCTGGAGTTGGCTGTGGGGGCATGTGTGGGCATGTGTGTGTGTCTGCCTTTACTTGTGGGTGTACATTGGACACAGCTGTGAACAGGCAATTCTGGTAGGTTCAGCACTTGCCCAAACTTCTTGTTGTTCGTGCACGCCAGAACAATGTGCTTTTCCTCACGGTTGGGAATGCTGGCCACTGTCGCGGGCTTTTAACAGCACTTGAGTGAAATTAATGGCCGCTTTCCAGCTACAAGCAGAAACTGTTGCTAGCACCTGGCCCAATCCTGTATTTAGTCTCAGAAAGTGATCAGCGTTCGCTGCATCAAAGAAAGGACCAAGCCATATGGATCCTGGCCAGTCTGTGCTGTGGCGGGGCTATAGCCGGACAGGCAGTTCCCTCCTCATCATACTGCAGGGACCAGCTCACACGCAGCAGTGTACTGTGTAATGCATGAGTGAAGGTCATACAATGACCTATTCCTTTGGTGCTTTGTAATTTATTTCCTTTGGCACAGGTATCTGGTTAGTTCCACCTAAGTTTCGGGGGGATCAGTTCAGCCCCGCTACAGGCTGGTAATAGAAACACACAACTCTCCAGCTTTTCCTCATCTTCGTCCCATTTATGTCTCCAGGGTTAAAACTCAGTCCAGAATCCCCAGACCAAATTGAATTAGAATTTAACATTCAAAGATTCAGGCTCCCTTTAGGCTCTAAGGAACAGAATGTCATCCTGTCTCGCAGTTAATAGCTGCTGGGTAGTCGTTTCAAAGCCATTTCTTTTTAGCGAGCTCTACCATAGCAAATTCCAGCAGTGAATGTATTTCTGGCCTGGCCATGCCTCTAATCCCACAGCTGAGTCTTACGTGTGATCTCTTTTGAAATGCTAGATCTATATATATATTTTTTTTTAAATTCCAGACAGCAATATTTCTAGGACTTGGCATTTAGAGTGGCAACAGGGTTGTTTATAGGAAGAGAAGAGAAAGGACGGAAGGAGGATGTTGACCTAGCAGCCCTCCAAACCTACTGCACTTAATCCACTTATCGCTCTGAATTCCTGAAGCAGATAAATGCTGATAACAGTTAAAACACATCACTGACAGGAGCAGCATGTTCTGTCCTCTAGAAATACATCAATGCTGGAAATTGCAAAGCTGCGCACTACCATGGGGATGAGTGTGATATAAGAGCCGAGGAAGCCCTCACTGTTCAGCAGAGTTCTTCCACAGGAGGGTAGTAAGCCCCTGCCCCCTTCTCCCTCCCTGCCCTAACCACCTTGAGATGCTGCTCAGGCCTGAGAAATGCTGCCAAGCGTTGTTGTAACCCCACAGCCCCCCAGAGCCACAGCTGCCTGATTTGTGCCTACATATCTGAAATACCAAGTGGGCCCCGAGTGTCTTGTTACTGCTCTTGATTGTCCTTGCTGCTCAGCGTTAAGACCTGCAAGGAGCGATTTCCAGCTGAGACCAGCCCCGTGCAGCTCACGTCAGCATGTCTTGGGGAGAGGAGTTGGTTTTGGCTAATCTGAGCTAAACCTTCCCTGGAGGAGTGCAGCTGCTGCACCAGCCTTGCAGAGCCACACAAAGCCAGTTGCTCCTCTCCCCATCTGTCAGGGCTCTCAGCAAGGTATCGGAGCCGTCCCTGGACTCAGGGGGCCACAGCGGCCGCAGCTGCGTGCTGCCCCGTGCCGCCCCCTGTGTCAAGACCCCTTCCTCTTGAGGACCTGTCCCAGTCTGAACAGGAGAAAAAATGCTGTAAACCAAAGGTTGCTTTGGAGCAAACCTCACTCCTCCAAACTCTGAAGGGATAAAAAAAATACCATAAAGAGTGGTCTCAACTATGCGCAGTTTACAGGCTCATCTACCTTCTTAGGTCTTTCCCAGCACGGCCATCCCCCACCAGTCTCCACAGCCCGTGTGAGCAGGCACCCTTGAAATTGCAGCAAAGTGCAAATGTCTCACAAGAAGCGCGAAAGGAGGAAGCTGCCTAGAGAGAAGTGAAGACCTCTCAGATGCCAGGTTTTTTTTGAGTCAGACGCTGCTCAGCTGTTGCATTGCAGATGTGTTAGCTAAAAACAAGCTTTCGTCGAAATCAAAGACTCTTCATGAGTATAGGCGGCAGGATCCTCCACAAAGAGAGGGTTTTCTTCTTCAAAGGGCTCTCCTTAGATTTCCCTACAATAGATTTCTTAAGGCTTGCCTGCATTGCGAAGCTGATTCAGAGGCAGCATTGTGTGGATCTGAAACATCACAGCTGTTAGGGATGAATTCGCTGTCTGTTTGTTCTCACTTCTGGAATATGAGTGCCTTCCTCCAAAATGACCTGGTGGAGGAGTTGGCTGCGGAGGGAAGTTTTGTGCGGTCAGGAGGACAGTTGGAGCCATTCCTCTGTACTGACTGCTGGTGTGGGTACTTGTTTTCCACATGGAAGGCAAAACAGGTGATCCCACACTTGAGTGTTCACATAAAGGAGTTTAATGGTGCTACTCTTCCCTGAACCCACACCCTGTGGCACTGCTCAGTAGCTTCCCCATGTGAACAAAGCACTCGAGTAAAATTTCAAGTAAGGTGCCCTTATTCCAAAGCCTGGATGGTCCATGCAGTGAGATAATCAGGAATAGCTGTTCCAAAACAACTGTATAAACAAATCCTTGCAAAATTATGGTAAAAATCCCACTGCGCCACTTTTAAGCTTGTCCATCACTCCAGAGTCAGTTGAATCCTTCACTGAATTTGACCATATTCACCTCAAATGGCCTCGATCTGCATCAGTCAAAACACATTTTTTTCCATATTCCAACATGGGGCTTCGGTCACTGTGGAAGGTGACAAAGTTTGTTTTAAATGCGTGTGATATTTTACAGTCATCAGGAGACAAAGCTCTATGTATTAAAGAGCTTATGGTCTAATCTTTGGGCACCCACTGGTAGGTGTAACACCATCGCAATAGCACAGAGAAATGAACCCTGGTGCGGGGAGGAGTCTGACCAAAAAGCAGAAGAGCCTGCATCTGCCAGGAACAGCTTGCCAAAAGCAGTGTGTGTCCATCCCGCCCATCCCTTCATGAACGGGAGAGGATCAACCAGCTGCCCGGGCGTGGAAATACCTGACAACCCCCCATCTCTTACGCCTTTTGGATCTTCGTATCTGGTTGCTTTCTTACAGCCTTTGACCCCCATCATGGCCTCTAATCTAAAAGTCACCTTCCTGTTTCTTTGGTTGCTTCAGTGTAGAGGTAAAAAAGCGTTTTTTAATTCCTTTTGTTTACTCTCACATTTGTTCATATTAGAGCATTTCCAGCTGCTATCTTTTGCTAATTTCCAGAGATCCCCTCTAGGAATTTGCACGCTGCTGCTATTTCTGTCTTTTAAGCATTTCAAAGCTGAGAGAGAGAATCCTCAGGAAAGGGGAAACATGGGAGAAGGGCTAGATAACCTAAATAAAACGGTTTGGCTTTTTCCCTGGCATGTTCTTCTCAGGCTAATGGCTCCTGGGATACTGTAAGAAGATGAATCTCTCCCCTGTTTTGTTACAGCAGTGCTCAGCCATGCCTTGTATAGGAATTGTATAGGAACTATATTCATGTGTGTTCTGCTGGGTAGAGATGAGGAGAAGGATGATGAATGATTTTAGAAAATAAGGCCCAGAAGAGTCCGCTCGGGTTATCACTCCTACAGTGTCTGCAGGACTTTCTGTTACTGTCTTTCCATAATATTGTATCTACTGTACACAGGACTGTGCACTCACAACGAATGAGCATGTCCCTTAGGACTGTACTGTATCTCAGTTGCTTTTACGGCTAAGAACCTTTTTCGAGTGATGTAACCTAAGCTCTTCCTTACTCTCAGGCTATTGTCCCTGGCTATGTCATCTGTAGAGTATTTTCCTTAATGGATGTTACATCCCAACAGTCCTTTCTGGACAGTGGCTGTGCCCTCCTTCAATTATTGCCCCCCCAGTGCTTCCTCAGTGCTCGGCATTCAGCAGCACTAAGTCTGAGTTGCCTTTTCCGATGCCGAGTCCCGCTGTGCAGAGGTGATGCTGCTGTTGCGATGCAGCATTAGTGCACGAGGACAGGAAAGCAGGCCTGGCTGTGCTCTGGAACAGCTTTAATGCCTTGTTTTGAGCCTGTTCATAGATGCAGAGCCCCAGGGAATCCCATCAAAAGCATGAATGGAAAAGCCTGCCCATCCCCTACTTTCTCTATATACTTTTTTTTTTCCCTTTCTATTTTCATGTCTCTGAAAGAATCCTTCATTTTGTAAGAAGACGTGTGTGTAAGTTTCCAGTTCCCTTTTTCAAAGACAACAATGGTTTGCACAGTCCTCCTCTTAAGTTGCTTTATGTGTGGTGTTATGCCAGCTGCCAAACAAATAGATCCAGAGACTGCCTGACGTTAAACCCAGATTTGGCTGGGAAGCCAAAGAGGTCCTGTACCCCAGGCTCCTTACTAGCCCATGGCTTAGTCTTAGCTTTTTTTATTTTTTTATTAAACAACACAGGGAGTGAACTATGGTGTGGTTCCCCATCTGTGCTTATTCATCCTCTCTTGTAAATCCCGACATCATTGTCTACTGAATTGCAGTGATAGATCACTTTCAGCAGCCCTGTCTATGTAAGGAGGAAGCACATGAAGGGGCATGATCTCCCATCTCTCTGCCTAAGATACTGTCACGTATAGATACTTAAGATCTGCAGTCTTCTGCAGATAGTGCCCATATCTAGCATCGAGTCTTGCTCTTTGCTGCCCATTTATGGCAACAAGAGTTTGGAGTGATTAAGCTGTGCCTTATTTCTCATGGCCCCGGTGCTGGCCCCTGTGCAGAATATGCAATTTCCTTCCTTACTTGTGCTTCAGAAATACACGGTCCCACCAATAACACCTGCTTGCGTACAGCATGTTCACTGGCGCCGGGTCATCGCATGGGCACATGTAGATGCCCAAGCAGAGGTTTGTAACTCAGGAGTTTCAGGAGATGTCCAGCTAGCGTTTGTCTTGGAAAATTGCTTTCTATTCATCCGCTGTAAATATAGTATCACACCACTGCAAAATCAGTTCACTTCCTGCTTCATTTCCTGTCTTTCTGCGTGCTGGCGTTGTACGGAGGAGCTCACAAGGGAAAAGGGGAAGCCTGTGAATGCAACAGGCTATCACAAATCACACAGCAATTACCTAAGAAATGTGGCAGATCACACAGGGCACATGCTCTGAATCACTCAATTTCTGACAAGGGCCAATGCTGTGTGCTACGGGCACGCTTCCTGACATACGGTTATTTTCACCGTGTGATCCTGTCTTTGGGGCAGCAGTCCTCTCCTGACTTAAAGCGATGTTAGGTGACTGTTAACAATTATTACCCTTACAGGGGGAAAGGTCGATGTACAGCAGGAACCTCCAATCCAGGTTGCACTGCTAAAGGAAGGAATATCCATTCCCTGTAAAGTCATCTTCCCTTACACGGCGAAATACACCAAATTTTCAATCTTCTATTACTGGATTAATTCACTGGGTCAGAATACATCCATCTATAGTAGGTTGGAAAATGTAGCCATCCCTTCTGGAAAAGAGAATACGACTGCTGTCATATCTTACGACCACAGAATCATGCCACTTGAAAACACCTTTTCTACTGGCACATACTACTGCAAGGTCAGATGGAATAACATGCAGAAAATGGGAAAGGGAGTGTTTGTCCTTGCTAGAGGTAAGTGAACAATCAGAAGGAAGGGCAGGTGGTTAAAAATCAGCTGGATCTGGCTATGAAAAGATGATGTTTGCTCTTTTCCTCTACCCAAACACGCTATGAAGTCAGGTGGGAATAATACTTTATGCCCAATACTTAATGCTATCAGAGTTGAATGCACTTTACACAGGTGATCTGTGCTACTGTTCCCCATGCACAGATGGGGACATGAAGATGCAGTAATTTATATCTGCCCTGCCACAGCCTCCTGGGAACAGCAGGTGTAAAGTCCGTGTCTAACCAGGGAGCCTGGGCACTGGGTCAGAGGGTGCTTTTAGGTGTCAGTGTCCAGGACACAGTGCGATTTAGTCTTTAGCAGTGTGACAGAGATGGTTGAACACAAGGTCAGTGGTTAGGGTGCTCGCCATAATCAGATGTACAGGTTAGGCGCTCACCGTTAGGGGCTCATGAACAGGTTAGGGGCTCACTGTACTCCCTCCCCCTTTTCCATGTGGTACAAGGGGGTGGTTGTTCCGTTAATGCGCAGGCTGGAAAGCAAGGGAGAGCTTCAGGTCACGATAAGAGGAATGTTATAGAAAAGTGATAAGGACATGCATGCTGCTGACTGGCTGGATTTGCATTACTGAATGCTGGGTATGAAAAACTTCTTAGAAAGTGCAAATGCTAAGAGCTGTGAGGAAGGAGCTTTGCTACACTGGTCAGAGGATACCTACAGTACCCACCCTGCTAGTTTGTGTGGCCTATGTGCTTTCCACCATCTGTCTTTCTGCCCCTATCACTAAAGACCTTTGCCAGCCTCTAACTACCACCTTTCTTGGCTCTCATAGTTATGTCATGTCCCTCTAATCTACATGAGGTGCAGCTGTTTATATCCTGTCTCTTTTGCGTGATTCTTCAGCTGCACCCTGCTCTCTGTTCAGTCAGAGTAGGTTTTGAAGGGTGTGTGCATCTGTGCCACCATATTCTGCACTGCTTCTGCATTTTAGCTCTCTCAAGGCTCTTTCCAGGGTTAAAAATGCAGCAGGATTGTAACTTCCGCTCACACTGTGAATCTTTTGCCCTCTTTCTTACAGGTACAGGGTACGTAGAGACCTCTTATGGGTGGGAAATCCTCATTACCCTTACTGCTCTTCTTGCTGCATTGAGCATCACCGCAACAGCTCTGCTTCTGTGGAAAAGAAAGGCAAGTTATAACCAAATAAAAAGCAATACCTGACACAACCCCTTCTAGGAATTTATTTCACTTGCTTCTAACTTGGCTGGATTGGAAGTCCCCATGCTGAAATTTTCCATGCTGGGTGTCTGCCTCAGGTTTATTTTCTTTTTTTAAGTTCAATCTTTCTGAGAAAAAAGATTACAGGAAAGACAAAACGAGTCATTGGTTTATCCATTAAAGAAATTCTGGTAATCATTTTCACTCCGGCATGCACTGCTTTAGAGCAAGGATCTGACACAGGGCAAGAAGTCACACTAGCAGTGTGCTGGCCCTGAGAATATTCAAGGAGATGTAGCCTTGTGATGGGTCTTTGGAAAATTGCACTTTGTGTATGCTCAGCCATGGCTCTTGTCAATTTAGCAGCTCAGTTGTCTAAAGGAGCCCCTGTGAGGCTGCCTTTCCACATGGTGCCAGTCAGACAGGTAACATCCTGTGCACCCAAGCAAGTCTGTTGCAGTCCTGGTGGCAGGAGGAGGGCAGGACTTTCCCTGTTTCTAATCATCTTTCAAGATGGGGACTACTCTGGTGCAAGGGCATGACCTGATTGCAAGGAGGCCGTGCAACTGCGTTCCTGAGCCATGGCTCGGGCACCATAGAAGAAAACAACCTGCAGTGTGGAGGGGATGGGGACCAGAGTCTTGGGCATGCGTTTGGCAGAGAAAACATTAAGAGACAGAGTGAGAGGGGAAGGTCAGGACAAGGATCCCAAGGAAGCCTGTGTGGAAGTCCCAACTAACTGGAAAAAAAGAGAGACACAAAGATCTGAGGAGCAACCTGCTTTAGTTGACTCTGCTTTGAGCAGAGGGGGATTGGACTAAGCAATTTTCAGAGGCACCTTCCAACAGGTGAGGCTGGACGAAGGAGCCTTGGGAGGGAAACTGGAACTGGAATCTGGAGTGAGGAAGCACTGGAGCTTGGAGGAGGGTGTTAATACTGGACTGACAGGGCCCCTCAGGTGAGCAGACCAGTGGCACAGGTTGGGACCAGCTGGGTAAGGAAGTGGAAGCTGGGATGAGTAGCTGAGGGCAAAGAGGAAACCAGGAGTGGAGAAGAAAGGATGTAGAGAGCAGGAGAAGAAAAGCCAAAAGTAGGGCTGAAGGATCTGGATGAGACGGGCCCTGTGGAAAAAACTCTGGAGTCGTGATACTGGAATCCGTGTTGTTTGGGGAAAACTTACTACTCCTAGTACTGCCACCCTCAGGCGTTCAAAACAGCATCCTCTGCATTCTTCCAGAGATCTCAAGGCTGGCTTAAAAAAACCTGATGTCTTTTAGAATGTAGTTTGGGGATTGTTGTTTTCTAGGTGGAGTACCCCCCATATTTACTCTTTCAACCTGCTCTCTGCCACCATGACAGCAGACTCCCTGCATGCATTGTTATGTGGAGGCTGTGCTGCTGGTACAGTCCTATGACTCCAAGGAGCATCAGCTTCAGCACACACAGTCAGAGATCATGAGGTTGAAAACTGACCTGCTAATCTCGTGAGACTTACCTTGCAGGTAGTCTGATGGAGGGGGAAGGAGTGTAAGCGGCAGAGTGACTAGGCTAGAGACAGGCCCCCATCTCTGCTTGCCTAGACAGTGTCTCCATGGGGATGAGGAGGGAGGCATTGTCACGACTTGCCGGTTGGCATCTCTAGGTTTTGAGGTGGGCCAGCAAGTCTCAGACCTACGGGCTCTCCTTGGGGCCTGAAGAGATCATTCAGTCATTACATTTGCCCTCCTGCAGAACACAGCCCATATTTCTCACCACAGCTTGCTCAGACCTGCTGGTTTAAAAATGTTTATCTTTAAGAGAAGCTATTTAGCATCCTCCTTAGTTACTAATGGACTGGAAAGCAGTTCATCGTTTTCATGTGATGTGAATATAATCATCCCACTTCTTTCCGAATTAGAACAGAGATACTTAGCAAAGCCTTCTGCCTTTTCTGCCTCCTCTCTTGCTTGCTGAGCAGGGCTAACCCTTATCTGTGCGTGAATGGAGTGTGTTCAAGGAGAGCTCATCCGATGCAAGAAACGTTTCAGAGGAAGAGACCTTCTTCCTTCAACTCCATGCTGGTCTTGCACATTAGTGTATCACTGACAATATGTCATCATCAGTGGTCGTCTGGTGCTCTTCTCTAGACTCTGTGTATTAGCAAAAGCTTCCCAGCCAAATCCTGACCAAAGTCACTGCATTTTGCTGCTCTGAAATTCCCCCCCATGCTTTGAACAGGGCCCTGCTTTACTCCCTGTCCTACAGCACTGTTGTGTGCTGTTAAATACTTACACCTTCCGTCCAGCTAAGTTTCAGTGGTGGAAGTGATTTCTATGTATGCACAGAGCCCAGTTCTCCTTTCCACTGCTCCAGTGTAAGTCATCAGACTCCTCCATTTTACCCTGTGGTGAGAAAAGGGACCGGCCCACACTGTGCAGAGAGTGCCAGCACTCTTTGCTGCGGAAGCACTCAGGGGGTGTGCGAGCAGCTGGCTTTGACAGGACGTTAGTGTTCAGTTCATCTTTGGGGAGATGGTGTTTTCTCCAAATGTGTCATTTGGTGTCTTGTCCTCAGCAGGTGTTGTGCCTTAGAAGCAACCAGCTAAATATCCTGAGACAGAAGGTGGAAACGCAGCCCCCTTCAGCCAGCCCACCACCACCACCTCCTGTCTATGACGTGAGTACCAGAATCGCCCTCCATCCTTTCTGTCCGCATTGTGGTACAACCCTTCCTTTCCCTGCCCTGCCATGGTACAGACAATGCCAGTATCATGATGTGAAACATAAGCAATACCTGCATACCAGCCTGGTACTGGTGACCTTGCTCCTGTGCTCTGCCCTGCTTAGCTCCTCTCAGGACCGTGCATGTTGCGTGTCTCCATCCTGGTCCCACTCATGGCCTCCCCAGTGCCAAAGCCTTGCACCATGCCCTGCTGGGCAGCACCTTTCCCTCTGCCAGCAGTGTGGCAGCACCGAGTAGCAAGTGTGGGGCCAGAGAGGGTTCCTGGTGGTAGAGGTAGAAGGGTCTCAAGAATGATGGCTCAGGAAAGGGGCAGAGAGAAGTGCTCCCCACAATAAACCCAGCTGTTTAGAGCTCCTGCTGCGACACCTTCACTGGTGTCAGTGTCATGGACCACTGCAGTCCTGAGCAGGCTGACTAGCTCTCAGGGGGGGAAAAGGCAGGAGGAAAGTGAAGGGAGTCTCTTTTTTGGAACATATCCCTTTTCGTTGCATAGGATCTCCTTTTTCCATTTCTCAAACGGGGGAACGCTGACTGCTCCCACTCCCTGAGCCCAGTAGCGTCAGCGTCATAGGTAATAGGATTGGAGTCGCTCTCCTGAAATGTCAGGCCCAGACCTCAGCTACCTCAAGTAACCATGACCCCTAATCCCATTTACAACCCATCCAGCTCCATTTAAAATGGATTCCTTTTTCTCCTTTTACTCCCATGGGAGGGCTGTTCCACTAAGAAGGGAAGGGTTGGGTTTTTTTTCCCCCCATGATCTGTGGGACGAACGAGGAGGAATAAAATGAAAGTGAGTAGAGAAGGCTGTTGCCTGAATATTGGGAAACCTTTCTGACTGCGAGGTCTATAAGGGCTGGAAAAGTCTCTCTGAGGAAAACCCGTAAGCTCTGCTGCATTAATCATTTAAACTAAACAAAACGAAGCTCTGGAGAATGTACTACAGAGAGAAGCAAAGCTCTGCCAAGAAGGCAGGAGACATGATAGGGCACAGATTTGAAAAAGAGGATGGGCCTGCTCCCTTCTCGTTCTCACTTCGCAGGTGGGGGGGCACCGTTTTGTGGCCCTTTCATTTTTGGAGTAGAGGTTTAAAAGAAAGCACTATATATTGAATGTGATATGTTTATTCTGGGCAAAAAGCAATGCTCTGGGTAAAGGAGGTTGCAGGTTATAAACCTTTCCATTTGTATCAAGTAATTTCTTTTTAATTCAGGCTTATAAAAATCCGAATGGGTAGTTTCCTGCTGAAGTGGATGGTTTCTGCAAGGAGACAAAAAAAAAATCAAATCCATTTCTCGCTCAGTCGGCCTCGTCATGCATCCTTAGCTCCATCTTAATTACATGTTTCATCATGTTGTTCCGTTCAGGAGGCCCCACTAAGGCTAATATAGCAAGCCAGCAGAGCCAGCCTTAGGCACAGGCAGTCCCAGGAGCTGGCTGGGCCCCTGTGCTTGCAGGAGCCCTGTGGACCCTTCCCCCGAAGCCCATTGACCACACGCCAGCTGTGTGTGGCTCTTAGCCAGCCCGGTGTGCGGGGCAGGTGGCTCAGCCCTCTTTGGCAGAGCTGAAAGCAGCCTCGGACCATCTCCTGCGAGCTGGGGGGTACCAGCCCGCCCACTGGAGGTTACTTTATCGTGGAGCAGCTGCTGCGGGGTGACTTGTTCAGGCATGAAGCAGCAACTCCCGCTGCAGACAGCACACGTGGTGAAAGCAGGGCTGCGAGGTGAGGAGGGGGGAGCACGGGGCTGTGAGGTGTAACAGGGAAGTTAATGGGGGAGAGAGGGTGAGAGCCCTAGGATGGAGACTCTGCGCTGGATGGGCCCTCAGGACAGGTGAGGGGAGTGGAAAGTCGACAAACCTTATTTCCTTTGAAAGATGACTCTGGTGCCCCCCTGCTAAATTTCGTTGGGACTCTGCATGGTGTAAACCCAGCCCTACAAATTGCATTTGAAATTGGGTGCGTTGTGAAAACCCATTGGTGTTAAATCGGGTGTTGAACACTTAGTGCTTAATTCATGGGGAGGGCAGAAATCTGTGGTCAGCCTAAGGGTAAGCTAAGGCAAGGAAAAGGGAAAGATAAGTGAGAAGTAACTCCAAGTGATGAGATAAAGAAGGAGGTCGGAGATTAGGGGGCGGGACAGGAGGCCAGCATGTGCCAGATGTGCTATCTGTGGGGGAAAGCAAGAGGTCAGAGTCTGGAAAAAAGTCGCGTCAGGGAACCACAGTGTCCTTGCAGGCCTGGAGCTGGGAGCAGGAGCAACAGGAGGCAGCACTGGACATCAAAGTAAGGGCTTGGAACTGGCTGGTGCAGCTCATTAAATGCTCTGTGTTATCCTACACGGCAGCAAGGCTCACCCCTGGTGTGAGAAGGGTCCCTAGCACACCTTCTGCAAAGCCAATCCTGCTGAACATCCCTAGGAGCAAATGCCTTCCCCACTGGCTCTTCCAGGTGCCACTGTTTGCCTCATGGTCCCTGGGGGTGGGTGTACACAGTGAAAAGCAGCAGGTAGCAAAAAGCCCTGGTAATAAGGGGGCAGCTGGGCACCCACTTTGTTCCCACTACACTGCCAGGTGTTCCTTGACCTCTTTGTCCTCCTGCAGCCCCGGAGAAGCTCTGCCTCACTGCACTGCCCAGACCCAAACCTGTATTTTCCTCTGTCTTCCAGCTTAGCTGCGTAGTTAATGAGCAGCTTGGAAATAACAATCGGAGGGACTCACTTCATCCGCTTTACACTTCAAACAAGTTTTTTTGAGCACCAAACAGAACTCCTGCAGCGCAGGCAGGTTCCATAGCACAGGAGCTTTTCCCGGTGCGAGGGAGACAAGGAGGCTGCTCAGGGACAGGAAGGCATCTGCCAGCGGGGAGGAGAGAGGCTGTGTGCCTCCACTGTGACAGTAGCAGGTGCTCAGTGACCAAGTAAAAGTAATTAATTTGCAGATGGCAGTTGGAGACACTGGCTTTTCAACTGGCCAGCAAAGGACCACCATTGTCAACAGCCTCCATGGGAAGAGGGCTTGTGGAGGGAGGGAATCTTTTTTGGAGGTTAAAAACCAAAAGGGTCCTTCTTGCTTGCAAGTGGCTTCAGACTAGAGCAGTGAAAGAGGCCACCTGTCCTGCCAAGGGGACATGGAGCCAGGCTGCTGGGAGCACAGCACACGGGATGAGGTCCTCACTGCGAGCATCACAAAGAGAATTGAAAATGAGGACGGGGAAATGGGTTTTTCTGTGTGTGCATGTCTACATGCGAATAGTTGGGAATGTCTGTGTAGGCAAGCGGGTTGTTGGGAGTGGGAAGCAGACAGGTGAAAGTATTTGACTGTTCCCGGAGGAGGGGTGGGAATGGGAGAGCTGTCTGATGCTCTGTTCACTGCGGCCCCCTCCTGTCTGAGTGCCTGTTTGTTCCAAGCCCCACTCCCAAATGCTGCTCCTCTATCATCTGGTCCTGTTCAAACCACCGTCCTGCTGGCCACGATCCTGAAAGATGCTGAGGGTTTGCAACTCCAGATGAAATGATGCGGGTTCAGGTGATTGGCAGCCCAAGAATCAAGCCTCCATGTTTTGCTCGTCCTCCTCGCTGTGTTGCAGGGCGCCTCGCTCCTTTGCAGTCTCTCCACTAATACCATCTGCCCCTCTTGCGGCTGGAGCTCCTCCCATCTTCCTGTTGCCAGAGAAACAGCCACCTTGGCAACCTGCTGTCATCCTTGAAACACACATGGAAAAGTCCTCCCGATTGTTATGTTTGATCCTTCAGGCAGAGCTGGAACATCACTCAAACTGACATGCATCTCCTGTGACATGATTACCTGGGGGACCAGAGGCTGCATACGCATGTAGGGCGTGTGTGTGTTTCTCTGTGTAGCTGTGTGGGACCACGGATATGTTTGAGGGCCTGAGAGTGTATTGATTTTTTTTTTATTATTCGTTGCTCACTCTAAGAAGAAAGGAGAGTTCTGGCTTGGAAAAAAACCCAGAAAATAAATAGAAATCATGCCTGATGTAGGGTTTCCTATTTTTGACAGCCCTTGTGCTTCAGGACCTCAGCCTCACCTCTCTTCTCACTCTTGTATGCCCAGAATAACCATGAGCAAGAGCTTGTGGGTGTCAGGCACCTAAACAGTCTTGGGCAATGCGGAGCACTGCCAGTTACCTGTGGTCCCCATGATGCACAATATCCTTTTGTGTGGCAGAGGGGTCTTTATTCTGCATTCTGGGACAATTTGGAGTGGAGGGAGGCAAGGGCATTGGCATTGTTCTCCACTGCCTTACACAGAGTAGGTAACATCAGAGCCCATCTCTGTGAGCCTGAAAAAGGAAGACGATGCAGCTGCACTGTAAAGAATTCAAGGGGAAAGGATTTTCTTTTTGCCCAAGTTCAGGTCAGGAACTTCAAAATTTTGAAGATGGCAGGGGTTCCTAAAAAATGTCAGGCACGAGATGGGGAACAACCCAGTGGGCAATTAGTTGTCTTAAACCTAAGTAATTTATTTGACCCCTGCTCTCTTCTTTCTTCCCTGTGCAGTGCCTGGATTTGCAGCAAGTTGATGTCTATTCTATCCTCAAGGACAACACAAACAACCCGTCACCCAGAAAGAGTCCTCCAGGGAAGGTAAGGGCTGGGGCCCTGTTCTTGGAGAGTTCCCTTATGCACTGGGCACATGGGGAAAGAAAATCCACAGAGTCTCCATGGCCCTAGCAGGCAGTAAGTGTGTCTCCAGTCCCACCGAAAGGGGAAAACGGGATGTGGCATCCACTCACCAGCTGTGCTGCACATGTAGCCTATCTTTCCTCTTCCGGCAGAACCCTTGCTTCTGCAGCTCTACCAGTTCTGGCAGTCCCGGTTTCATGCAGATGCTTTGCTGTATGACGTACGCTGAAAGGCATTGAGAGGTTTGGCATCACTGCTCCCTCTGAATGGGACTGACGTTCGTGGAGAGTTGGCCAGATGCTGGTCCCCACTATTGCCCTTTCCAGATTATTTAGGCAGCTGAGAAGTCCTTTGGGGCAGAGGAATCTGTGCACTGGAGGCAGACCCTGGCCACAGCTTTGCTTTCACCAGCATTAAGCACCTGAGAGCCATTTCATGGTAGCAGAAGCTAAGATAGTCTGAACAGAGGCTGGGCTGATACAGTCTCTGTCAGCTCTGGGGCTCAGGAAAAGGCAGTGTGGGTATGTTTTGGGCTCAGATCTTCTTGGCTGGGCTGGGAGTTACATGTGAGAGACAAGGAACTAAATCCACTCATAGTGAAAGTAGCTGCAACTCGGAATATGCAGGTGCCGATCAGTTGTGGGGGCCACATGAAGCAGACCAGAGGTCCACACAGCCCTCTACCCTGCCTTTGGCAGGCATCAGCTGTTTCATAGGGACAAAACTTGCATCAGGCACCCCAGGGAACATTTCCTTCCTGTCCTCAGAACTTTGTTGTTCTTTTCCCCTTCAGACCTCTTATCTGCTTAAAAAATATATTCACCCTTCTAACGTTAGAAAATGTTCCTGAAAAGTGTTGCCTGCTTCCTCCCACTGATGTCCTGTTGGGGGGAGTTTCCCAGGTTGCCTGTGCAGTGTGGAGCATGGCACTAGCTTCAGTTGGCACCATCCCTCTGTTTCATGAAGGACAGTGTTTTCCAGTGTCTGGGGCATTTTCACAACTCCCACCTTTTAGGAAAAGATGGTCTAAAATCAAGCGGCCTCCTCTGTGTCAGAGCTACTTGCCGTGTAGTCTAGTCCCAAGGCCACTGGCCTCCTGCAGTTACTGCTGTGGCACCACAGTGGTTGGTGGTAGCAAAGGCGGTGGCAGGTATCTGATTATTGAGGGGAAGGATGGGTTGTTTTATATAGGCTGTCTTATACCCCAGTGCATCATATGCACTAGAAAAGACAGCACCCCTGGTTTTGTGTTCTTGCTGCATTTTGAATTAGTCGGATAGGGAGAACAGTAGGTCCTGATCCCTCTTCCCTGTGCTATTTATTCTTGTGTATACCTTTATCAGCTGCCCCCGTGGAAACGATTCAGTCTGGATGATGAGATGCAGTATGTGTGCGGGTTTTTTCCCTACCATGGAGCCGTCTGGGCTGTGCTGAATTGCTTGTGTGTGGCCCCAACCACTCAACTGCTGCTTTGGGGGGCAGCGGATCTGTAAAACAGAGCAGGAGCAAAGCAACAAAGTAAGAGCAAAGGAACGTCTGTGTGTGAGTGGGTCTGGTGCTGGTAGTCTCAGCCAGGGTGGGGTAAAGGTCAAAGCAGACATGGGAGAAACAAAGGAGAAGAAAGCAAAGAGAGGCGATGGGATGAGCTCTCACACCAAGAGCAGACACCACCAAGTATCCTCGGTTCTTGTGCTGGTCAGAAGGAAGGGAAGTGTGAGTGGCAGGGCCTCGTGATCTCTGCACAGGAGAATTTGACTGCGCTTTCCACTACTGTTGCAAGTACCTTGATCAGCTTCCCTTTCAGTCATCCTGGGCTATGACCGCCTGGGGCACTTGTCCTCCAGCTGGCTGCGCCAGAATATAACAGGGTGTTTTCCCTAAGAGCGAGACTTGTGGGCCAGTGGGTTTGGCCTGTGAGTGGGAGCTGGGATTGCTGAACCGTGGCTGACTCTGCTGCGGAGGGTCCAGTCCAGCCCTTGCTGCGGGATGCTGCGCACAGAGCGGGGGCTGTAAAGGGAAGCAGGGCAGAGAGCCCCTGAAACAAGAGCATTTGCATGCTGTCACGCTGGACTGTCAGCCAGCTTGGGTAGCGAGGGGTTAATCCCACATGCGTTGGAGGTGCCTGCGCTCAGCACTTTTGTAAAATGTTTCTCTTTGGTAGTGGCAACAGAGAAAATGCTAGTGTAGGTAGGGCTTCATTCACCCGGTGGCATTTCAGCTACTTGCTGTGTAACCTTGCTTACAGCAGGCCTGTGCCACACAGCGCTTAAAATATCAGTCTGTCAGCGCCTTGTCTACACAAGGAACGGTTGTGAGGAATAGACTCAACTGTTGAAGAAACAGGATTGAGGAGGTCAGGGAATTCCTCCTTCACAGAATCCAAAGTGATTTATTTTTTTACCAAGTCCAATTTTCCCTCCTCTCCCTGTCTGACAGCTTTTTGGGGGAAGAGTGACAAGTAAAGGAGGCATCTTTATCCCTTGGGCTGGATTAGTCACGTTCGTCTCTGGCGGAGCAACATTTCTCACCGTAGTGGCTTCCGTTTCAGTGGTTCACTTATAGCCATTCCTAACAGAACAAATGTCAGTGTCTGCTTATTAAGAATTAATTCATCTTCCTTTGAATAATTTTCCTCCATTTCTTTTTTCTCCTTTTCATCATTCTGCAGACACATAAGAAACAAGCAACTCTAGAAGAATCCTCTGATAACTTGTATGAGAATATCTAACAGGGAAAATCTGACCCTATGTGGACCAGACATCTTTCTGTGTGGCGGAACTACTCTCTTACATCCCCAGTTCTCTGCAGAGATCCACAGACTTCAGGGCACAGCCACGAGGGACTTGTGAACCCCTGGCTTCTTCTAAACTGCCCTTCATTAACAACAGAATGCATCTGTTCAAATCCCACCGGGGCTCAGTCTGCACTGATGCAGCAAAGCTATTTTGCAGCAGAACCGTTTGATGCAAAAAGCAAGGCTGTCTTTGTCAAGCACTCACACGTATCTTAGAAATGGTGCAGATGGGATCTGTGCAGGTTTCTCTCACCTGGCCTGGCTGAAATACTTAAATCTTGATCCTCTGTAAATAATAGGACAATCCAGAGACCTTCCTGCTTGCTGGCTTGATCTTCCAATCCCGACCTGCAGCACTCCATCTGATCCTGTGCCTACAGCTTTCCTGACATGGCCATCAGGCCTTCATGCATAGTTTAACCGAGATCCAAGCATCCACCTGCCCATTTTTCCTTTCTCAGGAACCCCACAGTGAAACATGCTTTCTCATAATCTGCTAATCCCATCAACTAGTCACAGATGCCTGCTGTGACCATACTCAGTCGACTCAAATCAGTGCCTCCGAGTAAATGCTTTCCCTTCAGCAATATCAGCAGTATACAGTGAGGACTGGATGCACCGACAGAGATAAAGATGGAAAAAAGGAAAACAGACAATATCCCTGCCTGGCAACATGTCTCAGTGGCACTGCCCTTTCCAGAACAAGGAAGAGGAACGAGGAGGTGGGAACCTGAGGAAACTCCCTTGCTGGGGCTGCATAAGCCAAGCGGGTCTGGGGCCAGGGTCCAGCCCAGAGAAATTCAAGCCGAGCTCCCCAATTTCCTGTTCTTCTTGGCAATGGGCAGTGTTACCACTTGGGATTTTGAGCCTCTGTGGGAGCAGGCATGGTACCCCTGTCCCACCAGGACCAATAGGTTTGCCTTTGTTTCAGCTGGCCAGTATTTCCCAACAAGGGTATAAGGCTCCTTTACCCCCGCCCCCATATATTATTTGGCCAGGCAGACCAGTTCAGAAACTTAGAATGACTGAGGGAGGAGGGAGGCCCTAGGGGTGAATTTTCTATCCGAGCTCTTTCTCTCCTGTCAGCTGGAACTTGCCTACCATTTGTGCTGATGCATATTCTAGTTCTGATAGGGAAGAGGTTACATTAAATATCCATATAACACGATCAAACCAGTGGATCAAAAAGCTGAGTCTTTTTTATCTCAGATTAAAAACCAAAATAACAACCAAACAAAACCAACCCAAAATAAGAATATGCAGCATAACTTGAGAGGAATCATAGATACCTCTTTAAAGAAGAAGATCAAATTAAAATTGAGCTCCAGGGTCATAGGACCCTCTCTAGTTGAAGATAATGTTGCTATGCATCAGAGATAGAGGCTATGGAAAATGTCTCCAGGGCCTCCAGCCTTCCTATACTATGTTTAAAGAGATAATCCGCTTATTGCTTTGCTCTTTTTTATTAGAAGAGATTTCAAACATGCAATTTGGACTTTCTTTAACCACAGGAAAATGCTTTTTCTCTTCCCAATGTTGAGGAATTCATTTCAGAAAGAGCAATGAATAGACAGCATGGCTTATTAAACCCGTTTTCCATTTGTTAAGTGATCGCGACAATTATAAATAAATATTTTTGAAGTCAACAATTTCAGTGTTTACTAATATGACCTGAAAACCTTTGTGTTCACAGAAGAATTTGCAGAGGATTGTACAGGTATAACAATTCCTTTCCTTAACAAATTTGAAGAAATGATGAGATGAATTATAAATATGTTGCAGTATGGCAATAAAATATTCAGCAGAAGCTGGTGGATTAGATGAAAAGTGAAAACTTTCAAAATAATGCTGCTTAGTTTTTGTGTTTTGCTTTTTAAATTTTACAAATGCTAAAAATACTGGGTGCTACTGGAAATTTCCTGGCAAGCATCTCACTTTGCAGTGAATTGATTTGTCTTGTCTTTCTGTTATCTTTTTAAATAGTGTGTTTCTTACATTTATGCCTGAACAATTCTATATATTAAGTAGCTGAAGCTGTTTAAAATGAAACCTGGGAAGAACAACAGTATTTGGAATAGAAAAGGCTATTCTAGAACAGTCAGTGCTAAAGTACTGGAAGAATCACACCAGCTTCTGATCAATTAAGTGAAAAAGTAACAATTTCCAAGAAACACTGGCAGGTCTGGGGATTTCAGCTGTGTGTCAAAGCTTGCCAAAGTCGGGGGGAGTCGCTGTGTTGATTTCAATGGGGTTTGGATTGGCCCTGCAAGGGTAAAAGGCTGCTGCATGAGAAAAGGGAAGTTTTGAAGCTACGTAGCCACAAGCTAATATTGCTGCTTTAGCATCGTGGGCCATGGGCAGCCGCAGCAGCATCAGAGTGTGTGAGAGAGAAAGGTATAAAGCAGAAGACTGTGAGAGCAGGGTTGTTTTTAAATGGTACGGAGTTTGCCAAGGAGGTACGAGGAAATGCCTTCAGGCACAGGTAGGAGAGACTAGGAAATATAATTTAGATAATATTGGTATAGCTACTTTGTAGCAGAGATTTGTTCAGGAAAAAGGCAGTCATTTGGTCTTTTTGTCTTACCTAGCTCTATGGCCCATGAGAATAGATGCAGAAAATGAGTATTACTAGCAACAGGAAAGGAGTTAATTTTTAAGTGTTGAGCAATTTGAAAAAAAAAGAGAGAAATTAAGGATCGGCTCCCCCAGCTCTACAAAGGTGAGAGGTGATGACTGGCTTGTTGTGTTCACTCTACACGTTTTGCTTTAAAATGAATGTTGAGAATGGATTCCTCTTAAAAACTGTGTCCCTAAGGACCTCAGCTCCACTTGCTTCCCCCAGCATGGTGCTGTTATGCACAGAGCATGCTCTCAGGTTACAGTGGTATAATCTTTGATTCCCAGGTGTTGAATTATCCCTTTGTATTGACAGGATTTCAGGGAAGTGGAGACCCATTATCAAAGTAAGCAATGGTGTGAGGTGGAAATGCGCTGCCTGCCTTCTTCTAAAGGAGGTGCCGTGTTAGCACTAGGATCCTTTGCCCTCTCCACCAGGTGTAAGCGTTTGGTTTTCAGAGATGCAATCTCTCACCGTGATCATCCTTAATGTGTTGTCTTAGCCGGCATTGCTGCAAAGGATGTTGGTGACACTGAGGTTATCTAGTCCCTTTAAAACAACTCCTTCACAATGCTTTACAGCAAATCCTAATCTGAGAAGGCAAAAACCGGGGTGCACTTGAGTGGTTCATTGGCTTGTTGGTTTCATCCTTTTCTGCAGAGGACAAGCTCTTGCATGGGTACTGTTCTGTCGTATGAAACATGCCAACTATATTTTGCCTTTATCTGTAGATAAGAAAGACCTTGCTGTGGTGGATAACGACAATGAAATGTATGTCCAAGGTATAGTCCAAAGTGTTCTCCTTCATCGCTTCTGTCTTCTACTCTTCTTTTTCCTTTTCAGGGGTGTCACTACTGTAAATCATCTCCAAATACCCAGCTAGGGCTGGTTCTTTATCAAGGGAGGTGCTTAACTGAACAGCACTCAAGTGAAATGGTTATTACTGCTCTGGTTTGCACCGCTGTCCCACCCAGCAGTGCCCTAAGGGTGTGCAAGTCTAGGCCAAGGGCAGGGGTCTCTTCTTCCTGCTGGGCTGTCTCTTGGAAAGACCTGTTGTTTCTTCAGCCCTTGGCCATGCAAATACTGTGGCCCTGTGAGACAGGGATTTAGGAAAGGCAGTGAGTGAAGCCACCAGATGGTGCCCTAGGTCCTCTCTGCTCCCTTTCCTGTCCCCTGCCTGCCCACATCCCCCTGCCAGCTCCCCTGGTAGCCCCCAGACCACAGACTTCCGGGGGTGGGCACCTACAGCCATGCAGAACATCCCCAGCCATGACTGTCTTCTACCCCTGGGGTCAGTGCCTCTGGCACCCCTCACAGCTCTGCACCATGGCCCAGGTGCCACCAGCACCTGTGAAGAGATGGGGACAGGACAGGTTCCCCTCCTTTGCATCCGTGAAGTCTGGAGAAATAGCTTCATCGGATACCAGTGTCTTGGCACAGGGCTGCCTGTGTGAGGGATAGGAGAGTGGCTGCTGACACCATCATTGGATCAGACTGGCATCTGAAATGCAGAATTGGCCAGATGTTGGGGGCTGCTTGGAGCTGCCACCACTTTCTTTCACTGTTTGGAAACGGCACCTTATCTTGGGTTTGGGAAAATTTACTGTGTGTCCATGGTGAAAAAATCCTTTGCAGCATATGCTGCTCCTCTTCTTTGCTGTGTCAGGAATCTGATGAAGGCTCAGATACCACTCTTTCTGTGTTTTGGGATTCTGTGGTGGTCAAGAATTGCTATGCACAGTGAAGTATCATTAAGAGTTTATAAATAAAAAAGGAGAAGGTCAGAGAGCACCAGTGACTACCTGATCTCCAAGGGAAGAGGAGAATGCGAACCCTCAATGTCTTCTCTCGCTTGATTCTAGGGCAAGCCCATCTCCACTTACTGTCAGGGATAAAATGTTTTTCTTTGTTAATGATAAAACAGAAATGCAGGTTACTATTAGTAACTAGCATGTTACTAGGTACTTCACTATTAATAACCAGGCCTTTAAGCTGCCAAACTGTGTTACGAGCTGTGGATCTGCAAGGTTCACAGCACCCGTGCTGCAACCACACAACCACCTGGCGACAAAGTGTGATGGTGCTTTGACAATACCAGGCGGGTTCCCATGAAAAGTGACACAGGAGGGCAAGTTGTCAGCTCCTGAGGCAAGGACCGCTTAGGCAGCAGGGGAGGGCTCCCGTTCCGGGAGGGAGTCTTTCTCCTCACCAGCCGATGAACCTCTCCTGGAGCTCCTCTTTTTCTTCAGCTCTTTGAAGTATGCGGGTTGTGTTGTATCACTCTGGGCCGCATGAAGATTTGGATATACAGCTGGTAGGGCCA